TAGTAGTAGTAGCAGTAGTAGTCTTAAAACAACAAAGCAAAAATGATACTACTACTAATAGCCGCCAAAAAACTAATAATCACAGTTTGTGACTATTGTTGGCATGCGTACCTGAATTGGCTGGAGCAGTGCTTTGCTTTGCAGTTGCATTGTAGCGGTACCTGTAGGATCCTGTAGGTATACACAACTTCGAACCATTCCGCCAACAGCAGCTAGCAGCATCCACAAGTTGAATCATACCTGACCGCAAGCTATCACCGGGAACATAAACAAAAAAAACTACTGTACCATGCTTCAAGCATCTAGAAACTCGAACCTCGAACCAACAGCCCTGAGTCCTAAATTGCTACAACCTGTAAACCCTGAATTCTATGCACCTTCTCTCTCTCTCTCTCTGTCTCACTCACTCACTCACTCACTCACTCACTCACTCACTCTCTCTCTCTCTCTCTATATCTCTCTATCTCTCTCTCTCTCTCTCTCTCTCTCTCTCGCGGACTCACAGGTCTGTCAGCCGCGCAGTCGTCAATTCTACGCCCTGAACCCTGAAACCCCTAAATCTTTAAGTCTGAAGCGGCGGGGGAAGAGCCGAAGCTGCTCCACCAAAGGCAAGGACCAAGGATCTAGCTTCTTGGGTTTGCCCACAGAGCCACATACCCCTTAATCACGGAATATACCTTAAAGCATAATCTGAAGCCCCTTATAATTTAAGGTATATTCCTGAATTAAGGGGTATCGGGCTCTTTGGGTAAGGCTTCCTATAGGGTCCATTGCTGTTGCGCCTTGTATTGGCCTGATATCATGTCCTGCCCAGACGAGCATCCAGTCACTATTAGGTGCCGCTGGTATAGCTTGTCTTAAGAATAACTATAACAGGCAGGACCACAAAACAAGCGACCACTCAACCAGCAGAGCCAAACAACCGCCTGCCTAACTTTTTTGAACGCGGGAACCACTTCGAAACTTTACGGCGGTAATAGTCATATGATTGTCATAGCCTGAACAATGATGTTTCGAACAGCAATGAACTATGGAGCTATACGACAGTAATACCCGGCAGAACCACCTGAGGAAACAGAAATCGTAGTGGTGTCCTAAACCCAGCCCAGTACCCCTTAATTAAGGAATATATCTTAAATTATAAGGGGCTCCCTGTTCTGATTTTAAGCTATATTAGCTATATTCCTTAATTATGGGGTATTAAACTCTCTGGAAACCCTAAACCTGAGCCCTGAACCCTAAACCAACCAGTCCCTAAACCCTAAACCCTAAACCCCTGGCGGCTCCTTGGTCTTGAAGAGCAGGACCAAGGGCTTTGCCGGCTGGATCTCTTCTCCCGGCTCCTGCAAGGGCCGAGACTCGGAGTCCCACTCGATGCCCATGTCCTTCGAGGTATTGGTCGGTTCTTATAAGGGTTTAGGGTTTAGGGTTTAGGGTTTAGGGTTTAGGATTATAGTTTAGTAGTAATCTGAAAGTTTAACCTTTTATTTCCCTGGCTTATTGGGGAAGTAAGTATGGGGTCCTACCCTGCCTTTTGGGTTTAGGGGCTTTGGGCTTTACCGGTTCTGAGTTCAGACCGGGTGGGATGCAACTTCAGTTGCTGGCTTCATGCAGGTTTACGGGTGGCTTAAAGTCGGGAGTCAGGCTGGAGACTTCGTTGAAATCATTCCAGCATCCGCTGGCAGTATGCTCATGCCCCATGGCACCCAAAGGGTCCAAGTACTAGTATAGTATATAGTTTGGGGGCCCAAATACCTAGTAAGTACCTACTATAATGGTACTTGGACCCTTTGGGGCAATAACCAAGCCCGAGGGCAAACAAAGACACACGGACATTTCCAGCGCTGAACCCGGCTTCCTGCGGAAGCTTGCCGTTGAAGGCAGCGCCGAAGAGCGCATGGCCCCGAAGCTGTCGTGCCACGGCTCGGAAGCGAGGGTACCATGGATCCTGCATGATTCACTTGCATAGGATTCTATTCAAAGGGCAAGACTTCTTGCTTCATACAGTAGCCTTTCTACAACGCATGGCCGACACTCTCCATGACCAAGGGTCTTGGCTCTTCTCCAGGTGGAAGAACCCCATAATGGCAGTGTCGAAAGCAGTGGTGACCCGGTCAAACTGTGTTTTGTTCGCGACTTCGCTGACCACAGGAAGCAGGTGCTTGTAGCAATCAATCTGCACCTCTTCAGCAAATCGGCGGCCTGGCACCAGATATGGTTCGGTCTTCTCGTCCTGCTTGAACAGGAGGAGGTCGCAAGTATCGCTGCAAGACACATTGTGTCTTCTGGCGAAATACTTTTCTTCCCTCGCATCCATGGCTGCGAACGCGACCATGTCCAGGTGATCCTTGTCACGGCTCAGGCGCGCGGCTTTCGTAAACTCACGATCTTTCTCCTTGCACTTGTCGCACCATGGAAAGCGAGAAGCTAGGACCACCAGGCTGTGACGCTCGAGCAGGCGATCCAGGCCCGCCTCTGTGACCTTTCTAACATTCTGGCCAGCGGGCAGCTCGACCTCTTCATGTTCCTCTTCCAGGTCCCCATCATCCTGAGAAATACATACATGCTAACTGGAGTAGCTCGTCCGGGGTTAAGGAACGGAGGGCGCGAAAGGGCTCGACGTCTCTACTCTCGGCCTCTATAGGCCTCTAGATCTGTTCTGAGGCCCTTGGTCCTGGACCCAGTCTTTTTTGAGGAAGTGTTTCACCACGGTGTGGTTCTGCGCGAGGCGGTCCCAGCGATGGGGAATCTCCTTCTGCAGCGTGAGGAGAACTCCGTCTGGTTGGGGACTCACTTCCTGGCGACTGTAAAAGCCATAGACGTACCTTTACATATATGCAGTACCTGAAGGACATGAACCACTTGGACAATAAAAATGAAAGGTGGGTGGAGAAGCACTCCACCAATGCGGCTTCCAGCTATGTATATATGTGTGCAAGTAAGGTGGTTTGGTCCAAGGAGTTTATTGACTTGTCGTCCCTGGGAGCTCGCTGAGCTCGATGTTGCCTCTAGCCCTTTTGGGTGCAAACCTGCCGTGTCCTGTAACGAATCTAAGGCCAAAAAGAGCCCCGCAGCCCATGGCACCTCTGAGTGGCGCAGCGCCCACGAGGAGTTCGCGGGGGCCACGAACTCACGAAGCTCGAAGCTGAGGATGAAAGGTCGCCTCTGCCAATCGCGAGCTCGCACTTCAACCTCGTTGATTGGGAAGCAGAAAAATCTGGTGGTTTTAGACATGCTGAAGATTCGCAGATATATAGAGGTGCTGGGGAGTATCACGGTTCCCTTGACCAGGCGCAAGATGGTGCTGGGATGTGCTGGGCACAGTGCAAAATGTCTTCACTCCACGCAGAGAAGCCTTGAAACAGTGATATGGGCGCCAGAGTTGTGATCTACCCTACCGCCCGGGGTGTTATCGGACCAACCTACGCAACCGGAGTCGCAGCAAATGCAGCGGCAAAAGCCATCAAGGAAGTGCAAGAAACCAGTGCTTCTATCTTACAAACATATGACCCACGCGCAGCCCCAACTGCCAACCCCAAAAGTACATGATATCATATAAGTCTCCTGTACGGACTATATACAGTACCACGACAACAATGACGATGAAAGCACCCGACTGGCCTGGTCTATCTTCACGCTGACATTCACCGAGTCTTCTTGCCTGGGCTGTTGTTGCTAGAACTGTAAAACAAGTATCAACAACCCTCTCTTCAGCCTTGCTATACTAGAACCTAAACGTTTACATTCAAAGCAAAAATACTAAAAACAAGCAAACGATTACAGACAAAGCAAAAATACTAAAACCAAGCTGTTTCAAGAGCAGCCTAAGTCGCAGCTTCGGGATGGCCACAGAAATGCGGATCTGCTCCTTCGACTGCCCCCAAGCGAACCTCGGGTGCGCGCCCCTCTGCAAACGAAGGCTCTTCTCCTCTCCCGTCTGTGCCTAAAAAAGCTTAGGGGCTGAGTACCCTAGCCCAAAAAAGGGTGGGTCGGGCGTATATGTGTCGGAATCGCTCGCCATCTGATGCCACTACTGCAACAAAGCCTTAAACTCTCCAGAGCAAGCAAACAAGAAGTGCAATGGCTCCTTGAGCTCGGGAACAGCGGTGTGGCTGGTTGGCGCAAACGCTCCGCCTCCTTCTTGCGGCGCTTCTCCTCCAGAAAAGCAATGTGTGCATGCGCACACCCCCCCTCAAACCCTAAACTGGCCCTAAGCCCATCCCGTCCCCTCCTCCAACGAAAACTCGCTCTAAACCCGAGGGCTCAAAATTTCCCAAAGCCCAACCTCAGCGCATCAATCCCAGATCCAAGCATGGACGGATGTGGCCCCGTTTCAGCATGACCCCAAACCCTATATACCCTATAACCCTACAAAACCCGAAATGGAAACTTACTCCAGGCTACTCTTATACCCCTTTTTAACACCGGCTTAATGAATGCTCGCCCGGCAAACCCTACAAAACCCGAAATGGAAACTTACTCCAGGCTACTCTTTTACCCTTTTTGACACAGGCTTAATGAATGCCCGGCTAGTCTCCCCTGCCCTACTTAGAGGATCATGGGACTTAGTACGTAGGGTTATAATTAAGGTAACTATACTTATAACCCCCAATTAGGGGACTTATAACCTTACTTACTAAGTCCCATGATCCTCCAAGTATTGAAAGGCTCTGAGCTCTCCTCAGCCTCTCGGGCTGCCTTCTCTCGCCGCTGCTGCTCTTCCACCTTCTTCTTCTCCTCAAGGGCTTGGGGAACTGCATGAGTCCTTTGGATTTAGGAATGTCGGGATTTCTATGGGCATGGACGGCTTACGAGGCTTTTCATATTTTAGGCTGGCTTTGGCGGTTGAGGTGGGTTTACGGTGTGGCGGTTTGGATCCTCGGCGACTTCAACAATGTATATACATATAAACATACACACATACACATACATAAATCTGCACACACACACACAGACAGGCAAAGACGCAGATGTAGGTATGAATACAGATACAGGTAAAGGTGCAGGCATATATGTATAGATATAGAACGATAGACACAGATATGGGACTTTCCGAGAAATAGGGTACCTTATTTTGGGGTCCTTATAAGAAGGAACCTATCATATAGGGTAGTATATCAGGGTACCCTATTTTTGGAAACCCCCATATGGATACATGATATAGCTACAGAGATTACTCAAGCGACCACACTTCTGAACCCGGGGGGTCCTGTACTAGTCCCTTACTTGGGGTGGGCGCCTCGAAGGGCTATCATAGGATGACTACAAGGAGTTACTACTAAGGGTACCATGAGGCGTGCTTATTGTAAGGACCCTTGTGCATAAGGCTCTATACTACGATGTTCAGCGTAATCGGAGAGCGACAGGGCTTTTGCGTCGCGAGCTTGGCTGCTCACGGCTGCTATCTTGGAAGGGGCTGCAACATGCCGAACAACACAAGCGCTTGCAACAAGAGGCCATCGGCGGGAGTGCCTCTAGTCCTTTCTTCGTATGAGAGGCAGGCACCCTAAACCCTGCATCGAATGAGTCAAAGTTCAGGTTCCGCCTTTCCGTTTCCAGCACAAAGCTCAGACGGAATCTATGTCGACGTGACGATCTGCAAAACCACCGCACCTATGCCAGAAATTTGACGTGCAATGTCAGCCCCCAAGCCCTAAACGCGAACCCCCAAAGGGACCCCGAAAGGAACATGGCAATCACCCCTGCTGCGTCACTCAACCCCGTAGCGTTCAGGGGCCTGAATAATTACAGCCTAGGGTCTGGGATGGCTTGGGGCCTTCGGCACACCAGGACTACAATGGCATGGTTTAGGGTTTAGGGTTTAGGGTTTAGGGTTTAGGGTTCATTCTTCAAGCCTCCATAGTACTCTGTGCTTCCATTCCTCTCAGAGACTCCAAAACCCTTCCATTGATTCTATTTATGATCCCCCTGTAATGATGTGTGTCTTGTTCAGGTTCTTTCCTCTGAAGCATCGGGGAAGCACGTTTACATGAAATCTCATTTTGAAGAAACAAATGGGTGGTTGTCAAAATTATGGTCCCTTTTTGGGTCCTTATTATAATACGGCACCTAATATTTAGGGTACCCCAAAAGGGACCATAATCTTGACAACTACCCAAATAGATTCCCTGGCCCTCCTGGCGCTGCTTCTCGAGCTCCAGCCGCCGTTTTCGCTTCTCCCGGTCTTTCTTGGCAATGTCTTTTTGCCTCGCGAGAAAAAACGCGGTCCAATAAGCTAGGGCTGTAGGGTTTAGCCGGTTAGGCGCTCCGGGACTAAGCTTTGGCCTCGGCCGGTCAAGCGTTCCAATGTCCCTGGCAGGACTCATGATGCAGGAAGTCCAGTAACGGTCAGGAGTAACCCTGACGTCCGAGACGGTGACCACCAGTCACCAGGCGCACTTCGAAAATCATGCTTCGTTTTGCTACGTACCGCTCAGCTGTACCCCTTTGAGCATGTCTGGTCTTTGCAGCTTGCGCCTGGTAATCGCACCCAGTTTCCTAAGCCCATGAAGTCGCTGTGCCGTAAGCCGCAACATCAGTTGAAAGCTCCTCCAAGCCAAAACAGCAATCGTCTCTACAGCCTGGAACGTGTCCCCGATACCCCCGCTACCGGCACTGTGATAGTACGTATCATGATGATGGTGCCGACAATGGTGACGGCAGTTGCGAAAGCAGCGAATACTGCTGTCATTTTCGTCTTGGTGCCCCACATGCCATTCCAACTCTAACTCTCGCGTTCAGACAGCTTGGCAGGGCAAATCCTAAATCCTAAACCCTGAACCCTGAACCCTAAACCCTAAACCAGAACCGATTCCATAACGAGAAGTGAACTCCGAGGCCCTACGCTCACTAAGTACTTCCGGCGATATCGCGTTGTTGAACCTGGAGCTCAATGCCTATAAACCCTGAAACCCTAAACCCTAAAACCCTAAACCCTACAACCCTAAACCCTAAAACCCTAAACCCTAAACCCTATAAAACCCTAAAAGCCCTAAACCCTAAAGCTCAGGCTTTAAGATTCGCGGAGCACTGCAAGCTGCAATGACAGGGCTCAAATTCGCGGTTGCGCTGTCACAAGTCGGACGATCCAAGCAAGGCTCTGTATGTTGGGGACCCAGCCACCCTAGGAACCCCTATAAGGACCCACTGGCCCTTAAAAGTAGGGGCCCTTTTGTTGCAACAAAACTATGAACAGCCACCCTATAGTAACCCTTGAGGACCAAAATGACCCCTTAAAAGTAGGGGCCCTTTTTTTGCAACTATACTATGAACCCCTATATGGTCTATGAACCCTAAACCCTTTCAGGGTTCTTTTGGTCCTTATAAGGACTGCAAAGACCCCTGGCCTCTTCTCCTCCTTCTGCAGCTGCGCTTTGCGAGCTGTCCTCTTCTGCTCTTCGTCTGCCAGGGTGAGAGGTTTAGAGTCGACACAACATGATCTGCTGCTGTGGTACATCTCGATGACATCGGTACCCCTTGGCTGAAACGTCGCAATGCCCCGTAGGCTCCATATGAGCCCATTCCGACGGTGGGAACGGTTGAGTTGCGTTGTTCAATGCCCCTGGTCTCACCGTGTACCAGGGCGGCCTGGGGATCTCTGGGCTGTTTTATGACCATGCTTCCATTTAGCACTATAATGATAATACTTAGTATTA